TAGAATCTATCATGTATGGCAAGTGCTTAAAAAAGTTATTCATGTTCTTAATATTTTTGCACTACAAGAAAATGAGCTATTTGAGTCCCATTATTTGTGACAGAAACATTTGCTGACTCTTAGAGTCGGCAAAGTAGGACCGTCTCAAAAAAAATTTACTTAGTGTTATTATTTGAGTCGGCAGACTATGCCGTCACAAAAAAATTTTATTTGCGTTGGCCAAATTTTTACCGTCGCAAACAAAAATTATTTAATTTTTTTTCCACTTTTTTGGCTCCAAAAACTACATCGCGCGCCTTTTTTTGGCGCCATTTCAGGTCACTTTTGCGTCGGTATTCTGTGCCGTCACAAAAAGTAATTGAAAAATATTGAAACGACATAGTTTTAAAACCTAATATATATACCCTTCCTCTTTATTTTTTTTTCTTTTCTCTTTTTGCCCTAAATTCAATCTTGGTTCATCACTAAAACCGAACTCTTCATTGACACCACTGATTCTCCATCTCTACCGGCACCGCCGATTCTCCATCTCCACCAGCACCACCGACTCTCCTCCCTCCACCAACACCGCCGACTATCCTCTTGCGGGTAAGTGCTCTCTCTCTCTATATATATATATATATCAGTCTCTCTAAGAATTGAAATAGTAGATGATTTGAGTTTTCAATTTGTGTTCTTTCACCCCTCATTAATTCTAAACTTTCTCTGGAATCAAACTAGGGAAAAATGGTGTATGCATTTGTAATCTTTCGGCCCTGTTCTTTCACCGCATGGGCTTGGCTTGATATGTACCCAAAAAATGTTCTCTGTTTTTGAGCTTTCTATATATGAGGGATTAATGGTGTATACTTTTGTAATCTACTAGCAGAATTTTAATTGGGTAGTATTGTGTTGTCCTCACTAAGAAAGGGTTGTTCCTTTTCCATTGGAGAGAATTTCAAGGTAGAATTCAAAATTTATATACCCAGCAAAACATCACCTCAACCAATTGTATATACCCAGACATATACAAGCATGTCTCAGTTTGAGAATGTTTAATTGTGGCCCAACTGTGATTTAGTTTTATTTAGTTGATGGGATAAGTTTACATGGAAAATATGTCTAAACTTGGAATAGATAAAGACTTTTTTGAGTTTGTGGTCCTTATATTTAAGCTTATAATAGCTTGTTGCCTCATAAGAGTTGTAAACTCTTGTAGTTATGAAGTCAACTAGAGTTTGTTTAATTATCTGCTATGTTTTCATTGCTCATATTCTTTTGATGATGTTTCTCTCAAAAATATTTTTAAGAACTATGGGGTGAAGTTCCGTTATGAAACTATTAATAAGATCACTATGTGCTCTTTTGATGGACTATGTGGCGATGAAAAACATGTTGATGCTAGTTTCTTCTTAATATAATTCCGACCAATCCATTCTTCAAATTCATGTCATTCCCTGATTTGCAGATGCAATTCACAGTATTGCTTAGTGAATTGTAAAAAATAGGCTACGAATCTAATAAAGTTAAGTTTTGAAAGCAGCCACTTCATGAGAATAAAGCCAGAGGTTAGGTTGGTACCTAGCCACCACTCCTAGCAGGCTTGATAGAAGGGAATAAAACTAGTCAGTGCCCTTGTGGCTCTAGATGTAAGTAAAAATTAAATAAGTGAATGTAAATTAAATACTGAAAGCCATTTATGCCAACGCATTGCAAAGTCCATGGTTGATGAGGTATGTGCAGCTATTACTAATGGAAATGGTGAGAAATAGGATGATATCTACGAGAAAATTCCTATTGTCGAAAAAAAAAAGAAAAGAAAATAGTTGAAGAAATGCTTAAGTTTACAATAATTAGTTGTAAGACTTTTACTTATTGTATACACTTCTATTCAAATTGGATGGACACTGTCATCAAAAAAAGAAAAAAGGAAAAAAATAAAGGAGAATAGACACTATTGTGGAAGATCCTATCCATGTCCATGTTAGACACATGTTAGACGCCAACATTTTTTGAACATTTAAATGTGTGTTGTACTCTCCCAGACCTTGGAATACTTGTAATTCCCTCCCTGTCCCCGATCCCCGATGGCCAAAACTTCCCCGTTCCCGACCCCAATCCCCGACGGCGAACCTTTCACAGTCCCTATCCCTGTCCCCAACGGGGATCGGGTTTCCCCGACCCCGAAATTCCCTGATCCTCATCAACAGATCAAAAACAAACAGATAAAGCTCATCATCAACAACAGAGATCAAAAACAAAAAAATTATAGCTCATCATCAAATTACAGATCAAAAAATTACAGATCAAAAAAAAATTACAGATCAAAAAATTACAGATCAAAAAAAAAATTACAGATAAAAAAATTACAGATCAAAAAAAAAATTACAGATCAAAAAATTACAGATCAAAAAAAAAATTACAGATAAAAAAATTACAGATCAAAAAAAAAATTACAGATCTGAGCTGATGAGGGCGGCGAAGGAGGATATCGGCGGAGGAGGGCGGCGGTGGAGATCGGCGGATGAGGAGATCGGAGGAGATCGGCGATGGAGATCGACACGAAGCTCTCCAGTGAGAGATCGAGTGAGAGAGTTGAGAGAGTGAGAGATCAGCGATGGAGATCGACACGAAGCTCTCACTGGAGATCGACCAGTGAGAGAGAACGAGAGTTGAGAGAGTGAGAGATAAGAACGAGAGTGAGAGTGAGACCAGAGTGAGAGAAGAACGAGAGTGAGACGCACGGGTTTATTATATATATATATATATATTATATAAGGGGTATAAAAGTAATTTTATTTCGGGGAATTTCGGGGATGGGGTCAGGGCCGGGGACGGGGCCGGACCGGGGCTTGAACACTGATCACCATCCCCTGCCCGAAACAGATCGGGGATTGATTTTCAAATACCGTCTTCTCCCCGTCGGGGGTATTTTTCGGGGAAAAATCGCTAAAATCGGGGTCGGGGTCGGGGATCCCCATCGGGCCAATTTCAAATTGCCATCCCTAATGGTTGTGTGCATAGATCGACTCTGATACCATTTGTAACGCCCCACTACTTGCTAGCCCAAGTAACCTGTGGGTCGACCAACGATACCCAAAAGCTTAAGTCTAAGTTACTTAGTAGCAAGGTAGTGGTGCTTTATATGCCCAAGATCACCCATGCAAACTTCCGATGTGGGACAAGGCGTTATATTCTTTATCCTTGCCGAGGCTCTGGTTGTTGCCGACCAGACTTGGTTCTGGTCTTACATGCTTTGTCTGCCTCTTTAGGTGGTCCATGGCTATTTTTGTTTCCCTTCTTAGGGTGATTGGACTGATGTATTAAGCCCCTTTGTCTGTCTTTTTATTTTTTTGGGCTATCGTGTTTATTCAATAGCATCTATTTGGATAAGCCGTTGAGTTTTTTCTGACTTCTTATTTTTTTCTTAGACTGTGGTGCTATCTTTGTGTGTTTTTTAGCTCCTCTTCTCCCACCATAACTAATCCATCCTTTGCTGCTGATATACCCACCAAGCCTATCCAAATTAGTTCTAATTTTTCTCTTTCTCATGACACTCCTATTCATCATATTACTAGTGTGGTGTTGAATGAGAAAAAAATTTCCGCCTGGAATCGCTCTTTTAAACTCTATTTAGGAAGTAAGGGAAAAGCTCATTAGCTTTTATCTTCCACTACCTAGCCTGCTGCAACAGATCCTATCCGCATAGTAGGATATTGATAACTATACTATTTTGGGATGGATGTTTAACTCCATGGAAGATCGTATTTATCATATGTTTCTCTATTGTGACACAGTTTCCTGTCTATGGCATGCCTTGTCACAGATGTCTGCTCTATCAGGATATTGCTTGTGCTTCCCAGTCTACTTGGGTCTTTCTGTGTTAGAATTCTTTGGATACCTTTAGGCCCGTTAGGAAGAATTGGCTTAATATGAGCCCTTGATTGAGTTACCAACAGATGCTGCCTCTCTTATGTCCAAACACCTTGCTCACCAACATACTTACCAGTTTCTGATGGGTTTAAACTCTGAGTTTGAATCCCTTCGAACTCATATTTTAAACATATCACCTGTGCCCTCTCTCTCTATGAGGCCTTTGCCACCATTAATAATGATGAGCGTTGTAGGCGTCTAGTTCAGCCGAATCCTTCTCTCCTCTCTCCAGTTTCATTTGATCAAATGGCTCTTGCTGCAAAGTCTGGTTCTCAAGGTTCTACTGGTCTAGTTATTTGTCATCATTGTGGCGTTTCTAGTCATGTTAAGGCTCGTTGCTTCAAACTTTATCCTGAGTTAAGGCAACGTTCCTCTCGCCCTTGTGGTGTTGGCACCTCTCACATTGCGGCTCTAGTGGACTCCACTACTCCTGCTCTTAGGTTTCCTCATCTCCCCAATTTACAGGAGTTACAAACTTAAAGTGGTCAATTTCAAGCTCGGCTTGGATCTCTTACCACCAGTTCTCTTGGCCAATCGTCTATCACTGCTGCCACTCTTGCAACAGGTACTTTTACTACTTTCCATGTTCGGTGTACTAGTCCCTCATGGGTTTTGGATTCTGGGGCTAATGATCATATGACGGGTGAGTTTTTCTTTTTTTCTTCGCCAGTCTCTACTACTATTGCCCAATCCGTGTGTCTTGCTAATGGGTTCTTTATTCTTTGTTCATCATAAGGGTGTAGTGTCTTTATCCCCTACCATTACTTTACCATTTGTTTTACATGTTCTAAATTTTGCATATAATCTCTTATCCATTAGTCATCTTGCCAAACAATGTAATTGGGTTGTCATCTTCTTACTCTTTTCTTGCCTTTTACAAGACTTGAGTTCGAAGAAGATTTTTGGCAAGGGCTATGAGCATGATGGGCTATACTACTTTAGGGATCAACGGGACGAGCCTTCCTCACTACAGGAAAAAGCAGATTTGGTGGCGCTTTTTTAACGACGTTTTTTTAAACGTCACTGCTATTAATATTTAATGGCGTTTTATAAACGCCACATATTCTCTTAAACAAAACGACACCGTTTTATAATGGGTGGCGTTTAAAAACGCCTCCAAATGCGGTATGCCCACGCGCCTCCTTTTGTGAAAGTGAAACCTTATTTTGAATCAGACCCTTTCTCTCTCTCTCTCAGCCCTTAATACATACGCACAGATCTTTCTCTCTCTCAACCCTCTCTAAGCTCCATCGAAGATTCAGATCGAAGCAATTTCGAAGCTCCTGAAGGTTCAGATCTAAGCTTCATCGAAGATTTAGATCGAAGCTCCATCGACGCGATTTCGAAGATTCAGATCGAAGATTTCGAAGCTCCATCGAAGTTTCAGATTTAAGCTTCATCAAAGATTCAGATCGAAGCGATTTCGAAGCTCCATTGAAGTTTCAGATCTAAGCTTCATCGAAGGTTCAGATTGAAGCTCCATCGACGCGATTTCGAACCTCCATTGAAGCGATTTTGAAGATTCAGATCTGAACTCTGACCCCTCGATTACTCGCATTTCAAGTTCTAATGGTGGCGAATAGTCTACTTTGTTTCTGAACTGTAATCGGTACTCTCTCTCTCTCTCTCTCTCTCTCTCTCTCTCTCTCTGTCTAGATATATTATATAAACAAGGTTTGGTGGTTCAAATGCAGAATTTGTATGGCAGGTTTAGGGAGACTAGGTGCCTAGTTATTTATTCACATCCAGAGATGTTTTAAAGTAGTAAGGCTTTATGTTTGATAATCCAATTAAGCAGTTAAAACTAACGAGTTATTTATTTATTTTTTTGTTTTATGTTTTCTGTAGATGACTACACACGGTGCCTTCCAGTTCTGCAAGCAATACAAACGCACAACAGAGTTTCGCAGGCTATGTGAAATCATCAGGAATCATTTGGCCAACCTTAATAAATACAGAGACCAGAGGGACCGACCTGATCTATCAGCTCCAGAAAGCTTGCAATTGAATCTTGATACAAGATTTGAGCAGTTAAAGATTGCAACCGAACTTGAACTCTAGCAGGTCTGCGTATTTGGTTATGCTTGAGAGTAGAGAAGTGGTAATGTTCAATTGGGTATGCTTTCATGTTAATTTCTACATATATTTTTTGGAGACAGTTTGCCAATAATCTGAGTGTGATTTGGGCCATAGTTTCATCCATTCTGTTGTGTTGTCCAATTTTACACTTAATCATTATTTTATTGACCTTTTCTGGTTTGATTTTGCTTTAATCTTTGTAATAGAACCTGATAATTTCTTTTCTGGATAAATGGAGGTTGAAGTTAGAAACATATGATGCTCTTAAGTTTTGTCCAATCTTTTGGACAACCTCCATTGTGAACAAATTGGGAATGTTCTTGGAGAAATGACTTGATCGGGTTTTTGACTGGAATATTTGGTTCCTGCAGGCACATAAATTTCCTTGCTTGAAAGAAATATTTGGGATTTCACAAGACCTGTCAATTATGATTCTGTGCCTCATTATCAAGTATGAATGTTCTGTTAGCAGTTTAAAACCATTAAATTATGTATTGGGTAGATTTAGGGTGTGGGGGAGTTGACATACTTCGAGAGTGTAAACAATTTGCACATTATATTGATTGCACATGTCCTCTCTATTTTTCCTGAAGAAAGAAATTATCGGACAACCAAAACTAGATTTATGAACATCTGTTTTAGTTTGAATGTGATGCATTGAGAGATCATGTATAGTTAATATGAATGCCATTAGTAACAAAGCCTGCTCCTTTTCCAGATGAATTTGATGGAACGTGAGACATTGTGCCATTTCTGGAGGCGAGCTCTGTCATCTTTGCTCTTAGTTGGATTCTGAGATGAGCTATGCAATTGCCTTCCTCAATCTCAATGCTAACACTGGCAATAATTTTATAAACACCGTCAATCAATTTAATAGGTCTTAATCTTGAATGTCCACTACACCCCTTTATTTGACATGGTATTTTTAACTAGTTCAAGGGGAAAGTGTTTATGTTGATTTCTTTTCAGCATTGTCTGATCTTGACATTTTGGCAGGTTGCAAAAGGTGTAATGACCTGTGTGACTCAAGAAGTAAAAGATCTTTACCATCTTTTGGGGCATGAGTTTCTCCCTCTAGATCTTGCATCAAAAGTGCAGCCTTTGTTGACCAAAATTTCCAAACTTGGGGGTAAGCTTGCTTCAGCATCTTCTGTTCCAGAGGTCCATCTATCTTAATACATTCCCACTCTGGAAAAGCTTGCCACACTAAGATTGCTTTAGCAGGTACACGGGTGCTAGGTTTCATTTTCGTTACTTATTTTTTTCCAATTTTATGCATTTTCTAAAAACTATTTTCATCGTGCTTGATATGATGAATCCAGTCCATTGGAAATGAGATATGGTGCAAGCGATGCAAGATTTATGAAATTGATAAATTACTGATAGCCTTTATAAATCTCTCATTAAAGGCTACTAGGATTTATGCAGGATTGATAAATAAAAAATAAAAAATATATATAGATATAGATTATGGGTTTTAGTTTGAGTAAATTGTAGATTGAGCTTCAATTGATTGTGTGTTCACATGCATGCATGTATGATATTTGGTTTCGGAACCTAAATTTACAATCTAAATGTTCTTTCATATTTGGATTGCTTTCTTCAGGCAATAAGAGCAATATAGAGGCATAAAATGTGAATGAAGAAGGAAGAGTGCATCCCGATTGCAGAAATGCATCAAACCTTTATCATCAATGTAGTTTCCTTTTTGTTACAAACTTTTGTTACCCAAATTGTAACTTGAAAGCAGTTGAATTTAGTTTTCACTGAGTGGCACTATTTTCTATTATCTTCACATATTACATAGCTGAAATATTGTCTTGGTTTATCCGGTTGTTTGGAAATGTGCTTGCTGAATTTTGTCGGGCTGACCTCTATTTTCATAGAGTTGTCCAATTTATTTTTCCTGTTACACATTTTTGTAAATGTAGGGTTACTGACTCTATTATAAGTTTTTTAAGTTCCATGTGTTGTGATAATAATATGTCATTCAGGTGCCCTATAATGTTATAATTTTCCTTGAATTACCTAACGTCTTTGTGGACACTATCAGGAGAAATTTAGGCTACTGGTGTTAAGGTTTAGCACAGTTCAGTTGCTGCTGTTCCTAATTCACATGAAGATTTACATGATGAAATATATGATTGTGAAGATCATCCGAACGGGGACAATGATACTCTTGCTGAGGAGAATGTACAGGTTGACTTCACCAAACTCACAAAGAGGCAGAAAAAAAATGTTCGAGTTAAGGCTAAAGAGGGTAAGAGTGAATCAGTATTTGCCCTCATCTTTACATTATTTTGATCTTCTTGTCATTATCATTTTCCTAATCCCATATAGGTCTATGGTTCGCTGCATGCAGAATGAGGCTAGAAAAGCCAATCAAACTGCCATGGTGGCAGAGAAGAAGAGAATGGAAGCTCCGCCAGAGTATAAGGGTGTTTCTAAACAAAAATGGATTGAGGAGAGGAAGAAAAAAATTGGCAAGCTTTTGGATTCGAATGGTTTGGATATGACTAAGGCATATATATGCTAGTCCATAGGGGTTAAAAAGAGCCTGCTCCGTTTGATTGGAATGGTATGATTAGTTATTTTTGGTTATGTAATTATATATTTCACGTTGTGTGTCATGCGTAACTTAATTCATTTTCTTAAATGTTATTTGCACATATATTTTCAACTTTGGAATGCAACTAAACTCAACAAAAGTCTTTGTCCCAATTACTTGGGGTTAACTAAAGGGATCGATTTCCACCAATTGCTTCTATTTGCAGTCTTATCAATCTGTATCTGGGAGATTGGGAACAGAATGTCATGCTTCCCTGAACTGCATGAACTTTGATTAACTCATTGCTTACTTGCACGAGCACTATAACGAACCATATCTTCTTGGAAGAGAACTTTTTAGTTGGTTGGATAAAATGAAAGAATAATTGTTTCACATGGATTCAGTAGAGTCTATTTGTAGAAGTTTGGGCAATGATAAAGATATGAATGCCAATTGTGATTTGTGAGAGGGAGGTTTAAGTGTCATGCTAGGCACTGTGAGAGGCAGGTTTAACTTTGAGTTTGCATAGTCAATGTGTACATATGGGCTTGTTCTTTTATTTCTTAGAGCAGATTTGTTTTACAAAGACTAGACAAGAAGAAGAATTGTAATTCGTAACAGCTTTGTTTTTGTTTTTAGAAATGTACTTGTCAAAGGAGGTGACCTCGCTTCTTCATTGGATGCTGTTGATATTTTCTTTGATGGTATGCTTAATGTATTCATTGGGGTTTTTGAGTTGTAACTGTGTGTATCTCTAGGCGGTGTCTTTTGCTAATTTGATTTCTTGATTTGATCTTCTAGGAGATAATTTCTATGAGCTGCATTCACCACGCATAAGAACTCGGAATACTCATGGAACTGGCTGCACTTTGGCTTCATGTATAGTAGCTGAGCTTGCAAAAGGTTCTTTAATGCTATCATCTGTTAAGGTAATCTATTAGATGTTTGTATTTCTGGAACTTCTAGCAGTTATGTGTGCATTGCACCAAAAAAATAAATAAGGCTACAATTTTTGTTTTTGAATGTAATAATGGTGGTTTTGAGTTCAGTTTCACTGTTGACATAGACCCAAGTTACATCCAAAGCTTAATTGATCACTTGATTAAGCTTATTTCCCTCACTCAGTCAAACCAGAAAGATAGAGTAGCATTTTCAGCAGATAACTGGCCTATAACTTAATATATGAAAAGACCTTTGGCAGGGTAAAAAAAATTGAATACAGATCCATATAGCGGGCTCCATATTCAGGATTACTTTTGTTGCCATTTGCTTTGTGACATTTGTCACTATCTGACTGATGCACTATTTGACTGCTCATGTTTACGTGTTTCTTGAGTTAATGTTCTAGAATGTTGTTGCTTGTTCTTAAAATATTAAATATGTACCTTGGGGAAACCCTTTTTCCCTTTCATTTGAAACAACAAGGGGTCAAAATTCAAGGAAATGAAACATGCAATTTACTTAATCGGTCATGTGACTAATTTTGGACATTTTACCTGGCAATACTATACATTTACATTGTTACCAGATGCTTAAAAGGAAGATTACTATTGTTATTCACCCAAAAAAAAGATTACTATTGTTATTATGGTGGTTCATATTGTTATTTATTGAAATAAATGAAAAAACCAATTTGAACCTAGACAGAGTAATCTGATTATCACATTGTCTGAGCTTGAGGGATCATTTATCAATTCACTTTTTGCAGGTGGTTCATGTTGTAAAATCAGATTCCAGACTTGCAAATAATGATCTACCTGTTGATATCCAAAGGTTGAGATGTCGTGCTCTGTGTTATTCAAAGCGGACCTCAACCTGCTACACTTGAGGGCAGCATTTCACGAGCATATCGGTGATGTTATGGGTGCCTTGCGAGACTATCGAGTTGCTGTCTCTGTTGACCCAAACCACGAGATGCTGGAACTTCACAGCAGTCAAGAGCCATGAACCCCCAAAACACAAAATAGAATAAATAAAAAAATGGGTTTTTTTTTTTATTTAAAATTTTAAATATTGTGTCACCATTGTATATTTTGTGAGCATGTGCAATGTAATGTCCATGTTTATCTTCTTTATAATTTTTTGGTAATCAATATCATGGACTGTCCTCACCACTGTTTCCTTCATACTTTTCCAAATGGCATGGATTCATCAAGAATCAACACTTAAAACTACGGTAGAGTGAGTGTTAATTTATTTAGGAATGGATCAGCTACTGCATGGATTTAACTTATTGGATTTTTTTCTTGAAGGATGTTGTATTGGGTACTATTATAGATGTGAGGGAATAATAATCTCACAGAAATATGTCTGTACAAAGTTTTATTCATTATTGCTATTTTACAGGTATATTTTTAAAGTTAAATCTTACAAAATTAGTAGTTTAAAAAAAAAAAGGAAAAAAATCTATTGCGGCGTTTTTCAAAACGTCACTATAGTTATATTTTTAAAATAATAAAAAAGCTATTACGACGTTTTTGAAGCGTCGCTGAATGCCTGTGTGACGTCATGTTACCGTTGACTGCGACATTTAGTGGCGTTTATAAAAACGCCGCCTATACTAAATTTTACGACGTTTTTAAAGCGTCATAAACTTATAGCGATGGCCGCGTCCTCGACGTTTGGTGGTAAGCGTCACTAAAGGAATTAGCGGCGTTTTTCATACATATAGCGGCATTTTTAAAACGCCGTTAAAAGTCATTTTTCCAGCAGTGCCTCTTCTTCCTTAGCTAGTTTTTAGGCCTCTGTTTTACCTGCTTCCATGTCTTGTGTTTTTAATATTCAGACTTTAAAATTATGTTACACTCGTATGAGTCATGTTAATTTTCAGTATTTACACAAGAAAACCACAAGTATGTTACATGGGTGACTGAGGCCTCTTATAAGGTGGTAGGAACTCCCTTATATAGACGAAGGAAGAACTCCAGGGCATATTATAATAATAATAAAGGAGACATGGACAACATATGAGTATATCTGCCATAGTATAACAATAATACACACCAAAGTACAGTAATAAAATTGTACAATAGGACAAGTTACTTTTACAATAAGACAAATTACTTTTCACTACTGACACAACATCACAAACAAGTTTTCACAATTTTACATGATAGGATAAACCACATTTTAGATAAAATACCATTAGTCGGAGTCTTGTAGTCAATGTCAATGCTTGAATGATCTTCTGAGACATAATAACCATATCGGTCTTTGTTCCATGGATACTATGGAGATCAACTCAGTAGAACAAGTTCCTATTTACTACATTGTCATAGCCACATCATCCTCCCTTCATTAAGAAAATTATGTACCTTAAATAACAAATATCCAAATTGACCTATTGAAGATTGTATATCTAACATTTATGTGTCAAAGTTCTATAAAAAAAAAATAGCTACATTAGCTCCTTTGGTCCCAAACAAATATAGTTGATACACTCCGAGTCAATCTAGTCAAAGGCGAAGCTAATCTGGAGAAATCTTTCACAAACCGACGGTAATACCCAGCTAATCCCAGAAAACTGCGGATCTCAAACACACTCTTAGGCTGTGCCCAATCTTGCACTGCCTCAACCTTGGATGTTATTGATTGAGCATTGCATTTGCATACATTGTTTTTGTGTGTGGGAGGCGATAGGGGATGTACTCCACGGTTTAGGGGAAGATAGGGGATGGACCTCTAAACCGGATTTTGTTTGGGAGGAGATAGGGGATGGACTCCATTAGCATCACTTTTATGTGTGCTTATTTATATAGAAGTGTTTTATTGATACAGCACTAAAATGTGTATCAATCTAGAAGTGATAATCTGGCTATTCGCCCAGCCCTAGTCCTTCTCTCTTCCTCTTCCCTCTCTCGTCTGAGATCCAGATCGTGAGGTAGATCAAAACCTAAATCCCATCCCTCTCGTCAAAACTCCCAACCCTCTCATCGTTTGAATCTTTGCCTTCAAGTACAAACCCTACGCCGCTACTCCACATCCACACTTTGTTGCCGCCCCCGAAGGAGGATACCTACTACAAGCGTAGGCTTACGGAAGCCCATTCGCATCTCTGTTGCCATCGTCCTTCCCAACAAGCATGGATCCAAGCGTGGTGACGTGCTTCCAGGTAGCGGATCAGAACGGGAGTGGCTTCATCGACGACAGAGAGCTCCAGAGGGACACTTGAGAAAGAGAGAGGAGAAAGAAACACTACATAGAAATTTTTTATAGTTTGGGATCACCACGGCCTAATGATATCCGGTCTGTCAGATCCTCTCCTATATATTGATTTCTCATCTATATATACATGCTATGTGTATGTGTACGTATAGATGATAGTCTGTAAATGTTATCTGATATTAAGGGTCCTCTTAAGTGTTTGAAAAAATGCCTGACTGCCAAAAAAAAAAGTGTTGGCACAATGAGGTTATTTTAAGAGCTCCATTCTTTCTGCCCTATTTTGTGCATATTTCTGTTCAAATTTTATAAGCAAGTATCACAGCAAAGCATATATAGTCTCCATAACTATTAGCGGTTTGGTTGGCATATATATCTAAGAAAAAAGTGAACTATAAATTAACACAACACTTCAAAAAATTTGATGAAGTTGAAAGAAGAATTTTAGTTCATGTAAACTAAGGGTTGATAAAGCTTTAAATTCTTCTATGGTAGCTACCACATGATCAAATTTAATTGGATGGCTCAACTTTTTTTTATATCTTAATTTGTCTCATCTTCTGCTATGTTTCTATTTTTTTCTTAGAATTTGAATTATTGCTATTTGGAAGGACCCAAAGGTCAGCTCTTTTGTGCACTTGAATTGAATGGCTTATTACACTATGAGGGTCATTGGACTGACTGTTAGGTGAGAAGAGGAAAGATGTAATTGAATATGTTCAGAGACTCAACAGATGTTCTCTTGGATTTGAGGTGAATTTAA